TACAGCGACCTTGAAACGTCATTAAATAAGTCAGCCTGACACATCGCAGGGTATCCGTTTGTAATTGCGATCCGCAATACACTTCACAAAATGTCCTATGCGACTTCATAGAGGCCAGCGAAATCAAGTCTGATGACAAATATATCAAGAAAGGGCATGTTGATGGAAGATGTTGGGGACGGGTACATCGAAAGTCACCGACACTCATTCTCGCTGGGCCGCCTGTCAGTGGAATAAATTAGATGCATCGCGTATAGGAGAAGTGTAGTAGTAGTATTAATGATAGGAGTAGCAGAAGTGGCAGAAAAAGTAATGGTAGTAGTTGTCGTTGTAACAGTAGCAGGAATAGTAGTGATAGTAATAATAATCGTAATAGTAGAAGTGGTAGCAGCAGGAGTAAAAGTAGTGGTAGTAGTATTAATAGCATTAGTAGTAGTAGGAGGAAGAGGAGGAGGAAAAGGGAGAGGAGGTATCGTGACGCCGTTTCTTCACTTGGATGGGTGGATTACCCGTCCAGCCTACTGCACGTATGGAATCCACCTTTCCGGATACAGAAAGCTGACTGCCAGACAGAATTTCCTAAGCAAACGCCCGTAACTCTCAGAATATACAATATATGACTAATTATTCAGAAGAAGTCATCCCAGTCTCCAGTGTCGTGGTCGATTTTTCTTCCTGAATCATAACTGGCCGCCGTGTAACTGCCTGCAACGGATCTTAGATTGCGATTCAAGGCGCACCGGTACGGACACAGATTCTGAACCACAAGCACACCGATAACGGCTGCTTAAGCGTCCCGTGGAGTGGCAGATTCGCGAGAGTAGTGTGAATGCTGAAAGATACCTACCATTCGTCAAGACCTGCAGCGTGACCATTTCGAAGCCAGAACCCGGAGATCTTTTGTTGGCGTACGCTCAATTCAAGACATTATTGTGACGCCGTACAAAACCAAACCTTCACTAAAAGCAGCCAACAGTGGATTTTTTTAAAGCGCGCTCGCTGAATTATTTCAGGGTGGCTTTCATCACGGGCGTGTAGACAAAACCCGCCCAGAAACCAAACAAAACTCCCTAACGGGGTTTGAAACTACTATTTCCTTATAAAATTTGTCGGACATTCTTGTTATTAAGAATATAGCAGAGGCATGGACGATACGAAGGCAAAAGAAACTGGGCTTTCCTGCAGAGTTATAGAAAAATCAAACCAGAATGACAGGAGTGCTAAGTATGCCGATCCAAAGGAGGATGAGGAGCTGGAGTGGGTGGGGGAGGAGGAGGAGGAGGAGGA